AATTATTAGAAAATTTGTGTGCGCCTAACTTTCGTACCGGTACGCCCATGGCAAAAAGTTAGTCTAGAGCCCTGCCTAACCATAACCTTATGCCTAACCTTAACCAGCACTTTAATGACGTGAAACAGTGTTTTACAAAAACATTTGAGGAAGATGAATGAACATGTGTGGATTGATTCCAAACAGTTCTCATGTTTCCTCATTTTTCCGATCTCATCATTTAGGAAGGTGTTGGGCGCCCGGAAGCATGACATGTTGACGATTTGTCACCTAGTGTAAAATATTACGGCTCGGGAGTGTGTTGGCTGGAAATATTACATATACACAAATCTGTTCTCAAACCTGTCAAATGTAGGCAGGCAGAACGCGTCCACATCAGCATCAGCGCTGGTAGATGCAACTCTTGCAGCCCGGTCGTTTGAAACTGGGCCACAAGAGTTGAGGCCTGGGTGTGAAATTGATGGTTTTCAGGGTTTTTGTTTTTTTTTTAATATTGTTTTTTTTTTAATAGTTTTTATCGTTAACTCGCTTTCCCTGCGTCCTGCGTGCTATCCAGCTGGAGGAAGTCCAGTTTAAAATGCACCCTAGCCATAGATGGACACACCTGGTCAGCACTGTGGGTCGTGCAAAGTTCTATGATTTCAGTTCTAATATTTCAGTATTACCAGTAGTACTGGTTTAAAGTTACAGTATTACTGTAACTTTAAACCAGTACTCAGTGTTTAGAAAGCAAAGAATGGTCCATTTATTCATGCAATTAGCTAATCATGGCGTGAAAATGCTTGCAGATACAGGCTACTTATTGCCAGTAACAGAAATGTGACGCTACAGTGGGCACAGACTCGCCACTACCAAATGAAAGGTGTAGTTTGGTCTGATGAGTCTACATTTCTGCTGAAGCAGCAGATGGTAGACTCACAATTTGGTGCCAAAAGCATGAATCCAAGGGGCCAACGTGTCTTCGTCAACAGTCCAAGCCTCTCCTGGTGGTGTAATGGTGTGGGAAATGTTTGCTTGGCACACTGGTGGGCCATTAATAGCAGAAACCAAGGTGTGAGCAACACTACGGACTGTGTGTAGCTGTCTGTGGACGTGGTTTAGCATCTTTTAATGCTGCCTTTCAGCAGGATAACACATCGTGTCACAAAGCAAAAGTTATCTGCTCTCACTGTCTCCTCTGTCACCATTATGGACCCAGCACAGCACCTCTGACATGCACTAGAATAAGAGAGCACTAGCATGACTGTGGCTCTACAGGAACAGTGTAATCATGTCAGCATGAAGCAGAATCTGAAAAGAAGACGCCAACATTTTCTAAATGTGAGGGTCTGTTGACACAGGGCTGCATGGTCTGTTAAGGCTGCTGCAACTACAGCAGCACTGCACCATGTATGATATCCATGTATGATACTGGAGACCTGACAGACTGTTCACTTTCAGCCATGCATGTGTGTGTTGTCACTTTGTATACATAGATTACACAGTTTGTCTGAATAAGTGTAACAACGGAGAAAGTGCTGAAAAGGACAGAAGCACACTGTTTCTGTCCTGTGAGGCCACAGCTCTGGTCATTCATGTTTGTCAGAAGCTGTTTCTTGTCCTGCTCCCAGGCTCAGTATTCCTCAGTTTATAATAAACTGCAGTGAAAGCCCGTGCATGTTGATTGGTACAAAAAGAGAGATTCTTAGAACCCAAGAACCCCATCTGTCACTAACACAGCTGAGGACCCTCAAATCAACTTAAATGGACAAAACATACGTAGCAACTTTCCTTTCTATAACACACATCAGTCCTTTAGTCCAAAAATGAACCTTTCAGCAACGCGTACACCAACATACATACAGGGGGAAAAGACACCAAAGCCCCATCTAGCTTATCAAGCATGGTGGAGGAGTCATCATTGTTTGGGGTCACTTTGCTAACTCAGGCTTACAGTTATTGAGTAACCAACTAGTTCACTCACAAGTTCATACAAAATAATAATAATTTATTATATATGTTCAGGGCTATGATCCATGCAGCGACTGCAAAAAAAGTGCATCCACAGTAGATCGGATGAAAATCAAAGATTGGTCGTGTCACGGTTCTGACCGTAGCCCTGAGCTGCAGTGGCCTGAGAAGAGCTATTCCAAATTCACTTTAGCAGTCACTCACCAGGAATATCCTCTCCAGCTGGTCTTGGATGTCCTTCATCCCAGGAAATGCAGCCACTCCTTGGATCATCTCAATGAAAATGCAGCCCACTCCCCTGGAGGAGAAAATAACACTAATTATAAATCCTGTATTTCTTCTCAATGTCCTTAAGCCTTTCACAGGTGCCGCCTAAAATAAAAACACATTGGAATAAAGCATCACTGGAAAATGTTGTATTTGACCGGTCCGTCCTTTGTTCACATCTAATTACAGTCTGCAAAACACTAACTGTTTAATCACCCCAACAAGCCTCACAGTGAAAGTCATTCTGAGGCTGTATTGATTTCTTTTCTTCCAGAGGGCTGTTAGACTGTGAATGTAGGTTGGAAATCTTAAAATATCAAGACCACTTCAGTATGGAGGGAGAACGGCCAAGGTGTGTGTGTGTGTGTGAGAGTGTGTGTGTGAGTGTGTGTGAGTGTGTGTGTGTCTGTGCTGTCGATGCTCATTTGTCAAAGAGCTATTTTTCTGACAGATTCGCTTCGTGGCTCAGTGCACACTCCTTCTCAATGCAAGGAGAGAGAGAGAGATTACCTGAAATTCATCCCTCAAAAACTTCTCCATTCCTTCCATTTTACGGAATGAAAATGCTTCATCTCCATGACAGAGCTATAACCTCAGCATCCAGTATTTCTGCTGGAGCGTAGAGAACTATTCTGCTGCCTGAGGTGCATATGTGATACGGGCAAAGGTCAGCTTAAAGAAAAAAGAATAACACAAAACAATTTTCATCTGTGTAGTTATACCTTCCTCTCAGTTTGATTCATTCCTGTCATTTTGTCTGAAATTGGATGATGTTGTCAACAAAGGCCTGACAGGTTATTAGCTCTAAAGTTCTGGCAAAGTTACTGACCCTCCAGCTAGAAATGATGTCTCCATTCTTCACACAGGTAACAGGAAATAGGCTGCTAAGGAAAATGTGATTCGATCACGTTATTTATTGGTTTTATTGAGGAAACGCTGTCAAGGTACAAAAATGCTAATAATGAATGCATACAAGTCAAGAACAACAACACTGAGCCCTGTGAGTATCAGGACCTTCATCAAGGATAATCTTTAAGGATATACATAAAACCTGTTGTGACAATATCAGCTTTGTGCACTTTGCTAAATAATGCCCACTATTAGAAACTGAAGCCCACTCTTACCAGTTCTCAATGTAAACCTGCATAATGTTTCCTTTAGCCTTCTAAATCAGGTTTGTGTCTGTCACTCCATCAGGAGTTTGTAATATTTTTCACTCTCTCAGTCAGAACATGCTATAGCTGTGTCCCAAAACGTCGGCTGCATCCTCTGGAGGCCGCATTTGAAGGCCGATTACGTCACAGCCAGGCGACAAAGGCTGTTCCAATGCGTCGACTCCTTCAAATGCGGCCGACAAATGCGTCCTTCATTTCCCCGAATTTGAAGGATGGCTCGGGTGTGTCCTTCTTGGCACACCATATCCCAGAATTCATAGCGCAGCCCAGTTTCCAACAATGGCGGCCGCTACTAAGTTTTAATATTACTCTTATTAATCTTCCTGGGTCACAAAATAAACTTTTAACATATTTTCAGGCGAGAAAGTAGCTGTGTAAACTTCAAATATCTGCTTGGTTATCAAGACATCGTATATTTTCAAAAGTGCGCTGACGTTTTGGAGACGTCTGTTATCCACCAGCTCGATAGCTAGCCGGGGGGTACAACGGTCACTCGACCCGGCGAGAGCAGCAGACTCCCGGCTTCATCGTTTTCAGACCCCCGCAACTCCACCGAGACAGCGGTGATGCTAATCTGAAGGCTAGACCGTCCCATTTCACAGCCTCGCAGTAGACTGTGAAGGCTGAGTCCTCCGAAGGATGCAGCCTACGTTTTGGGACACAGCTTAGATCATGCTTAGGTGGAAACCAGCGAGCTAACCTCCTGCTAACTTCTAACTCCGTTCAATTTAATAAATTCTGTTTTCATGGATGCCTGGATGTTAAACTTCATAGTTACACCCGATAAAGCAGCAACGTTGATAATTTTATTAAAGATTAAAGAATTTAAACAGTTTTTATCCCTCAGTGATGCTGCAGTGTTCGTTTGACTTTGGGACCTGAGCCGACGGAGTTTAGGACCCAGCTTACTCCGCGAGGCTCCGTAATGCTCCGATAATCCATCAAGCGGTGCGGCTTCATAGTTTACCAAAGTCGTACCAAAACATTTTTGACAGATTTTTGAGCACCATGTACCACATAAAATCGGTTCGAGGTCAGTAAGCACAACCAGAATTCATGCATAAGGCGCACTGCCGATTTTTGAGAAGATTAAAGGATTTTAAGTGCACCTTATAGTGTGGAAGATACGGTACAGTCATTTCCTTTCACAGTTTTTTATGTAGAACAAGTGGTGCAGGCATGCAACTGACTCTTTATACAAAGTGTAACACTGCCTTTATGCTATAAATATCTACATAAGGTAAGATACACTTTTATTAGTCCCACAGGTGGGAAATGTGCTTGGTCACAGCAGAAAGTGGACAGTACAAATTAAGAGCAGCAAAAATGAAGAAAAATACATACATGCGTTTACACGTATGTGTATATCGAAACATGGCGCCTCCCTCTTCTTGATTCTGTTTCCGCATTTATTTTCGTCTGACTATGAGTCTGCAGTGTGGTGTTTTATCACTGCTGTTACTGTAATTAGACAGTGTTAGAGGTGCTGTGACTGGAGCTGTAGTTAAATCAGTCACTGGAGTGGACTGCACCCTTTGAGTTATAGTACACAGTAAATTAGCCTCAGTAAATATTGGGCTCTTTATTCAAAGACAGTAAATCAACAGATATGCCTGAGAGGTGATTCATGATGTGACGGGAAAGCAGACAAACAAATACGTGAAGCGTCGCACTGCAAGACACATTTCCACAGCCTGGATTTTGGGTTGGATGGACTTCATTGATCCTGAGGTAGAATTTCATTTCATTTCAAGTACATACATGACAAACATTAGCTGGTTTAGATTTAAAACAACAGCTAGGCTTCTGTAATATATTTCAATATTCAATAGTACACACTCACACACCTACACTCATATATATTAGCTATGTCACTAAATATAAATTAGAACAAATCGTCATCTTTAACTGCGATGGTTCTGGTATGATACAAAGGGGGCGCCCTCAGAGTGAAATGAATAACGGGGACTGAGCTCGTTCAATTCGGCCCTCGCCTGTTTTTGTGATTTTAAATAGACATTTTCAGGAGTAACTTGTCATTGGTAACGGCCCATAACCTTGAAGAACTGTCTCTGGCTGACCAGTTTTCATATCCAGTCAGTGTTGACATCAAAATTATTATTTTTTTCATCCACCATCATGTGCAAGTCCTTCAAATGGCCTGTGGGCACAGCTATTTCTTTGATTAAAGTAGGTGCTGTAATAGGAGAGTTTCAGTAAAAGTGAAAAGAAATCTTTTTGTCACAGAGTCAATGAGGCACAAGTACAAGTCCTCGCACAGTCTCCTCCTTCAGGCCCACCTCATGGCCCTGAAGGAGGCCCACAGCCACCTGCTGAGATGCAAACCTGGCTATGAACCCTGGATCATAAAATATAGAGCCAAAGCCCAACGTGTGTTAGAATGTGGGGCTGCATACAGCTCATGAGAAATCAGCAAAGCTAAGCATACCCTTATTATCCTCTAGGTCGGGTAACATCGAGGTGACAGGAAGGGCCAGGAATCTCACTATGCAGCCTACTCACATGCTGCAGTATGCCTGTAAAGTTACTGAAAGTAAATGTCTTTTAATAATATACACCCTGTTTATATCCTGATACAAGCAAAAAATGATTTAATGTAAAAGGTTGTGTAAGAAGTTTCTTTTTTATTTTTAACAAAAGCCAAAGATCTCTGATCACGCTGTTTACCTGTACTGTGCTGCTAAGCCTTGTGGCATGAAACTGCACAGAAAAAAGTCACCTCTAACAGATCCATCACTCTGACATTTGTCTCGAACAAACATACTGTGCTGCACTTGCACCCTGCTTTTAAGTTCAGAGACTTTCTGAAGCCTCTGTTCTCTGTCTAACACTCAAAATTCTCTCTCTCTGGACACTTGGTACAAACACGGGCCAGTCACACATTCATTTGTGTGTGTTGCACTTTGTTAGCTAGCAGGTGCTGTGGAAATGCAACTGGCTCTTTGGCTTGACATGTGCACAGGGTGCACGTCTCTATACACAACTACATCTACAAGTTTATTAAGGCCATAAAGTATTTTGCAGCCTGACTGGAAATTGTGAAAGCAAGTTGCAATTAAGCATGCTCCTTTGCATCATAGCCTCAAACTCTTTCACAGCTAATTAGGAAAGCACAGGGGACTACAATCATTTAACACACTGGGAACTGGAGCCTTGGCCAAACACATGTCACTGCAAACGATGATGAGCTTACTTATCAAGAAGACTCTGTATCTGAAATGTTCAGGTGGAAACATTGGAAACATTCCAGGATATTAAACTATAGTGTATCAATACTTTGCTTTACTTTCAAACACTTGAAGATTTCTGTGTTTTTTAAGATAAACAGATAAACAAACATCACGAGCAGCCTTGTCCTCTCAGATGGAGCTGGCTTGTAGTGCACCATGAGATAACTAAACCACGGTCACAGTTGACTGATCCATTCGTCGACTCTGATTGTCAGGTCCATGCATGTGTGTGTGTGTGTGTGTGTGTGTGTGTGTGTGTGTGTGTGTGTGTGTGTGTGTGTGTGAAAGAGAGACAGAGAGAACTGCTGCTCTGTGAAGTGCTTAGGAGCCAAGGAAGGTAACAATAGAGCCATTCCTCGCCCGCTCTTCATCACATCCTCACTCCTCACAGCCTCTCAGCTACAGCAACTCATGATGGATGCTTCTTCTGGCAGGAAGACAGATCTGGACAACCTTTTGGTCCTTCAAGGAGTGGTTCTTCACGGATGACTGCTTTCTAAGTGACCGGAGGTGAGTGTATGCGAGCGTGGCACAGAGTGAGTCTCATTGGAATAGAAGACCCAGTGGATTTGCCCACCTTCAAACGCCCTTGAAACTGACACACTAGCGCGCTATCTTTCGGACCCCTACACTCTGGCTGCTCTTTAATTGGACGCTGCAAAACAGGGTTCTTGGGATTTCCCTGCTGACTGTGTGTCCAGACAGAGGGGGTCACCGCGGCTCACCTAAGACCAGGTCCACAATGGGACAGCCTACAGCTCTCTTATTCCTCACATTCCAACATGCAACATGCTTTTTCACCCCTAAAACCGAGTGCAAACATTATATACAGAAATGTTGTCATATTCCTCAAAAATAACCCATTAAAATAACATTAATGATGCTAAGCTGACTTATACTTGCTGGTAACTCTGAGAAGGAGTTGGGCTTTTGTGAGAGTAGGTGTTATAATCTAGGGCAGAAGTAAAAGTAAAACAAAGCCTTTTCCCTAAAGAAAAAATGCAAATGTCAACTGTACATTGGAGGGCCTGTATCATCTGAGTTTTTTCAAAGCAGCAGTCTCTGGGGCTGAAAAACGAAGCCAAATGTGTCATCAGCAACAAAATAAAGACGTTTACAGTCTGGTCCAAAATGGTTCTGCTCATTACAAAGATAGAAAAAGTCGATTTAAATGAAAGAAGAATAACTGGACTTGTTCTTGAAACCACAGCAACCATTGATGCAAGTTTATGTCAGTTTTGCATTTGATTCATATTTCACATCCAAAAGGACGGACGTCTTTAAAAAGTAACTGACAAATTACAAACTGGTAGCTACCATCAAACGTGCTGACATTCTGTACCTTAGTTAAACAAGGCAGTTCAAACCATCTTTAACAAAGACTGAGGAGAAAGTCGAGAAAAAAAACTGCTGCAGAAAATATTTCAGCCCTGCTACAGTTTTTCTCACTGTGGGATAGCAAGTCTGCTCAGGCTCGAGACGTGAAGAGTTCGATTATTACATTTCAGTTGTTTCATTCACATCTGCAGCAGTTCTGTCAGTGTATAAAGTAAATGTGTGTGTCTCACCAGCAACTGATCCAAACTGGGAGTGTGGATGCTGGGGAGTCATGAAAACAAAACTGCACTGAAGGGAGCATGGCCTCGGGTTAGGATAAGCCACCAGTAAGAGTGTTTTAATTGGTTTTTGTCTGCTTCATGAATTGGGTTCCCTGATCTATATCTTGAAGGTTTCTATGTGAATAAATCACGGATAAATTACACACACGGGGTTAGATGTTAGGAGTACCCACCACATGTCCAGGCAGGTGGAGTAGTCTGTGGATCCCAGCAGGACATCTGGAGGCCGGTACCACAGGGTCACCACCTCGTTGGAGTAGGTATGGCTGGGGACCGACTTGGCCCTGGCCAGGCCTGGGGGGGGGAAGCAACAAAACAAGTCAGTCTGAGAAAGCATTATCATTGAGTGACCTTCAGCAAAACAAAGCATACAGCTGGAGCCAGCAGTCACACTCCCTGCAGCTGCTGACATGTGTTATACAGACAGGAAGATATAGAGTTTGCAATAAAAGTCAAGCTTTCAAGGTCCTGTGTGGAGAAAGATCGTCATCAAACCAACTTAAACAAGAGAAGTAAGAAAATGAAAGATTAGAGAATGAGTTTTCAACATGTGACCATAGGACAACAATTTGGTAAACAGGAAGTAATAAGAGGAATTTTACACCACCAGTAGTACGTTGGACCTGAATGTGCAGATGAATATCACTACATTAATTACAAGCAGTGGCTTTTTTTCATTCCTTGATGGACTTACTGGTCCACAGTCAAACAGGACACCGTGCCCCATCCAAATGAAACAACTGCTCAGGAACTTGACAAAGAGCCTCCAAACCCTCAAAGTCCAAGTCAAGATTGATATAGGACACTGATCAGGATGCACCAGACGTCCAATCGATCACTAAAGCGCCGTCACAAAACCCACAGGACCATTTTTTACCAACAAATGTTGAGGCAATATTTTACAGAGAAGAAGTTAATTGTAGATCATTAATGTTTAATGTTTCCCTAATGAAGATCTTGAAGGCTGAAACATTGCCTCATTAAAATCTTGTGAGCTTCCAATTCCCTTTGCTTCCTGTAGACTCACTGAAGCCATCATACAAACAGCTCCTCTTGTCAGACCTGTCTCTACTCTGACTTCTGTACATTCAGCTGTGACAAACCCCAGATTGCCTTTTCAAATAGAAATTATGATGGACGACCTTTGACGTTTCACCAAGAAACATGAATATCAGTCATATGAACTCTTTTGTCCTGTGAATCACACATGATCGTGTACGTTTGGCACCAGGCTATGGTTAAACACGAAAAGTACTACATTTTAAAAAAGGGGATTTAGGAATAGATGCACAAGCTTCTCCAGTTTAGGTCAAAGGTCCCTTTCTAACATTTATCTATGCAGCGACACAAACCCAGTCCTCACATGGCGGCTAATGCTAGAGTGCAGATGCAGTGAGCTTTAATGAGGCTGATGGCATTACCTCTTTGTCTCATCCCAAGTGGTCTGAGAGCTTAATTAAAGCATTTAGCTTAGTAAAATAAAGGACTTCCTGCCCTGCTGTTAGTCCCCTGTGTGTGGGAGGAAGCGGGGCAGAGGGGCGAGTAAATGAGAGCAGGAAGGGGGGTATTTAACATTTCCTTGTGTCAGAACACCCACAGGAGAAAGGAGTTTCAGCTGACATTCATCGTGGCCAAGCTCTATAATTTCCACACACTGTTCTAACACAGGATAGACAGCATCGGGCTGCTCACACTGAGAGGCTATCATATCCACTGCAGGAATCCTGCGTATGTGTGTACGTGGGGGGCGGCGTCGTGGAGGCGTGAATCGAGATAATATCTACTCATCGTAAGAGAAGGTGCAGTAGTAGGAGGATGGCCTGTTTGTAACGCGGAGCAGGAACAAAAGAAAACCCAACTGTTTGGTTTCCTACAGTTCCCAGCATGCCTGTCATCAATCTGAAACAAAACAACATGGGGTAAACCCGGTGCGGGTTCTGTATGGGTTAAGTAATGCAGCTGCAGCTGTACAGAAGCTTTGTCAGCATTATTGGGAAACTTTGATCTGTGACAGCTGTTTTCTTGCAGGGCACCTTCTGTTCTTATAGATTAATGAAGCTCTCACAAAACTGCAGTTCTTCTCATGGCCACCTGAGGCTGGCTACAGACATGAGTGGACTGTTTAAATGCCCAACTTTACAAACAAACATGTTTAAAGCCTGGCTGGCGTCTGATGGTCAGATATGCTGCTTTGCCTGTGTTTCACCTCCCACTGTGTGACCTCGTCTGGGAGGCACTGGGTAGCTCTGGGTATGGGAGTAGTGTAGCTGAATGGTGTAGTGATAACACTACTGTCTTTGGCCTGACCAGGCTATGCATCCAGTCAGGGTCTCCAGGCTAGCCTATACTAACCACATACCAACGGGAAGCAGGCAACTGGAACATGGAGTGAGTTTAAATGAGGTAGAAGTCTTTTTCAATCGTGTAGGAGGAGGTGAGCAACTTTTCCCTGATGTCTTGCGGGTGAGAAAGTTGCGTTAACCAAACCCCTCTCTGTGTGGATTGTGCAGCGAGACGTGGAATGGCAGCAAAGCATCGCTAAGCACCAGAGAAACGACCTCCTGCAGATGAGCAAACATGCCACGTATCGCCTTCCACTATCCACATAGCGATTATATGTCGCTGTGCTGTCTGGAGCTGCTCTTTGCTTGAATCAGGACAGGATTCAACACCTCGATTTACCATCATTAGTTTGTTTTCACACAAATGATTTTATTCTAGCTCCCCCACGGACTCGCACACTGATTTTCAGCTTTGCAACATCATCACGACTCAAGCGCAATGATCAATTAGGCAGAATACACCAAATAAACTTAATTCAATCCCAGCAACGAGATTGTGTAATGAGCAAGATCCTAATCAGCTGTTCCTCCTCCGTCTCACTTCTCACTAACAGAATTCGGTGCAGTTTTCCACCCACAGACACTTTGGAGGCGACCAGAATGTTTCATCACTTGCTCACTCACTTGCATGGGCAATAATTCAATAGTGATTTTTACAATGTTAACAGCCTCACAGTCATCTATGTGTCTGCAGATGCATTTTAGTTCTCTTGATCGTGACCACAGTGTATATGAAGAATCTTCCTTTGTGACAGAGCGATATCCCACAATCTAAAGCAGTTCGGTTGCTGTTTTCGGACTGTTCTGACATCTTGAGCAACACCTGACCTTCCCCTTTAAAACCCCATGAATCTCATTGCAGTGGAGCACTTCAGAGCCCTGACCTGGGATATCAAACACACATACGCACATGGACCTTCAGCCACCTTCATCTTCAGTCATGCCACAGCTGACCTGCTAGCCTGTCCAGGCTGTGACCTGGATGAAGGTCAGCGGTGAATTATACATCACTATCTCACACAACACTAGGGGTCATCAAACATATGGTAGAAGAGCTGGGCTGGAAACTGGGAGAGAAAACAGAATAAACAAGCAAGCCAGGGAAGGATTAAAATAGTCTCTGTCCCCGGGGGGTAATCAGCCCACTGTTTCACCTTTTGAAGTTCACTTGAATTTTAAAGGCGGTTTGTAGCTTCCGCCTGCTTCTCCTCCTCCAACTCCTTTAAAATTCAGCAGATTAAAAGATTTACGACATGCTGCCAGCAGCTACTTCAAATACTGGCAGAGATAATTCCACTGAGGAAAAGACAAACACAACAAAATGCAGCGTTTGTTGCTCATTTAAATGTAGACATCCTGCCATCAGACCGCAGACACACATATAACACAGGTCTACTCAATGAATGTTTAACCTACTCTGAACCCATTCATATAAAGCTGTCATCCTGCTTCTCATCACAAGCAGAGCCTCCTCTCTCCCGTGTAGTTGTAATGCAGTGCGCACAGTCGTTTGAACAGAGGCCTGCAGTTTGTCCTGTGTCCACTTCAAGCTTGGCTCCGTGTTAAAATGCCCAACTTCCACCATGGAGTTCTGATCCTGAGCATCCTGATATCTGTCTGCTAAACTTCAGAGTCACTGACCTGCATGTCGCAAATTTGTTACTGTTGGTGGAGACTTTTGAAACACTTTTAAAGGAATTATCTGACAGATACTATGATCTTCCGTTTCTGCGTGTTGTATATTTGCAGCAAGCTACCGAACTGTGCGGTCTGAGCAAACCCTCATTGGTTAAGATTTTGGTAGGATAATGGGAACGAGGTGCCAGGATTTACTGAATAGAATAGAATAAAATGCCTTTATTGTCACTATACAGATGTACAATGAGATACAGAGCATCTCCTGCTCAGTGCAAATATCTAGACATCAGTTCTGCAGCACTTTGAAGCACTATTGAAACATGTGCAAACACACATGGAAGTACAATATATAAAGGCAATAGTTGGTGAGAGTACCTTTAACATAGCATGAACTCTTTTAGACAAGCTTTCTTGGAATTTCTTTAAGTAGTCTTCAGGAATACGTCTCCAGGACACACTTCTTCAACAAGGTTGCGGTTCAGGCTCTGGGAAGCTCGATCGAATGATAGAATTGCATTGTGTCCTTTTTTATCCAGGTATCCTTTTGCTGCACTGATCGTGTGTTTGGGATCATTGAAGTTGTCAAACACTTTCCAGATGGTATATCAAAGAGCATTAAAATCTGATGGTGCTTTTTAATGATCATAGTTCCATCAATTTTGACAAGACTACCAACACCACTGGTTGAACTGCAGCCTTAAACCATGGCACACACTCTGTCATGGTCCGTGGTCCTGTGTGTGGAATGTGTGATGCGCGGGTAGCCACACCCCCAGGCTGGGCCATCACCGGCACACCTGCTCTCCATCGGGGTGATTACCTGAAGAGCTACTTAACCCACCGCTGACGGATGCTCCACGCCAGTCTGTTAATCACCTCTCTGTGATAACTAGACTCCCGCGAAAGCGTTGCATTCATATCTTGTTGGAGCTGTGTTAAATCTGCCTACTTGTGTCTAGGTTTCGATCCGGCGTTCAGCGTCTGCCACCTGCCTGTCCTCCTGCTCAATTGGATCACCCGGTACATCATCTGGCCCATCCACTACCTCGGCGGATTTCCTTCTCACGGACTTCCCTCCCGAGCTCCCACGGTCCCGCTCTAATCGTAAGCCAACTGGTCTAACTCAGTTTTAATGTGTTTCCTCCGCTTCCCGGCTCCCTAGTAATCTTCTCCCCTTTCTGTTGCAGCCTCCCACGGTCCCGATTCCGGCTTCCTCGCGTCATTGTTTCCCCGGGTTTTTTAGTTCTTCGTTTTGCTCCTTTGGTTTTCCCGGGTCGCCTTTTGTTGTTATAATAAAGTGTCATTTTCTGCTAG